CCCATCCACATCTTGTTGACATCGCTTGCCTTCCAAATTGGCTTGATGATGGGCTTCTTCCTTAAGGCAGTGACGATTTCTTGATCCATCTTGGCAACCTCAAGAATGTAGGAAACTAACATTCGTTTGATGTGATCAATGATGGGCTCATACTGCTGTTGATCAGTGAGCAGCATGTTGTTCAGCAGGATCCAGTCATGTGGGTTCAGGTTCGGTAGATCAGCAAGGAAAATCATATGAACGGAGTTATCGGAACCTCAGGTCACCCAGAACTTCGCATTTATAAACTTCCCTGCTAGAGATGGCTTCAATACTTTGACTGTTGTGATCTTCAGTGCGCTCCAAGTCAAGTATTGTGGTTGAGCGTAGGCGAGATAGTAATCAATCAAATCTCTGTCAACCTTTGGGTCAGGAGAGGGGATAGCAACAATCAGTTCAAAGCAGTGAAAAACGAATGCCCTTTGAGTGATTGGCAAGTCAAATTGTAAGTCTTTCGAATTTTCACGGTCAAACGAAATAACCGGTTCGAGCTAATGAGTACTCGGAGACTCGATCTCTTATTTTATTAACTTCTCCAACGTCCACAGAGGAAATAGAGTTTTTCTACTCTCTAATGCGTCGTGAGCTTCTTTTTTCTTTCTCTCCCTCTCTTCTTCTCCTCTTGCGACCCTATGGTTTTCATCAAGCTCTCGGTCTCGATGCCTTTGCCTTATCATCTCTTCTTCTGTTTCTTCTTTGTCGTCATTATCCCCAACTATATTTTTGCCTTTGTCCTTCACACTAGAACCCGAAGCTACATTACCCTTCGGTTCAGTGGTGACTTTCGGTTTTGGTGGGGTTTGAACTGTTTCGGTTATAGGAGGTTGAGTAGGAGGAGGTTGGGTTGACTGATCCTTAGTGACATCTCCCCCTTGTTTTGGAGGTACAAATGGCTCCAAAACGCCCTATAAACGGTGTAACATGTCAAGTGTTAGGCGTAGCTTCTCAGCCAGATGAGTGTGTATGCTGATAGTAAGAACCGAATCATGAGCTTGAAGTAAATTGGAAATGAAAGAACTTACATCACCAACACAAGCCTACATAAATGCCTTCTCATACTTGAGTTTGTCTATCTCCTTATTCGCTTGTTTAAGCTTGACAGTTTGGGTTTTGAGCTGAGTGGTCCGAAGGGCCAGATCATCCATTATCTTACTCTCCATGGCTAGATCAACCTGGAGTTTTCAAGGTGAGCATTGATTGAGGACTGAAGCTCAGTGTAGTTAGACTGGATGCTTGTGCAAACTTTTTCAAAATTTACTTGCTCATCCTGAAGAGAAGTAGAAAGCTCTCTCGATAGTAGAATTCACCTTATTTGCATTATTCTCTACGGCTTCTTGAAGAGACTCAAGAAAGACCTTTTCATCAGAGATCAAAGTGGAAACATTGTCAGTAGCAATTTTACATGGTTGGGTAGAGGCATCAACAACCTTAGTTGCCTTGTCAATTGAGGCTTTATGCTCTTTTACCAGAGTGGCCACAAGAGTTTGAATGGCAGCATCAGAATATGCAGAGGATGAGGAAGAGAAGGATGAGGCAATTAGCTTGTCAAGTTTTTCATTAAGGTCCTTTAGATGCCTTTTCGTTACAGGGGCATCATCATCCTCATCACTTTGAACTCGGTAAGGGCTGTAATAAAAGGAGTCAAACTCAACGTCCTCTCCACCGAGAACGGAGTTGGATTCGGTTGAGTGAGACGAAGATAGAGGTTGGGAAGTAATCGGGGTTTCGGTTCTTGAGGTAGGTGCCCCCAAATCAGATACATTGACACGAACCGAAGGTTCAATTGTTTTGGTAATAATGGTGGTGGCTTAGGAAAATATTTGTGGTAGAAGAGGTGCGGATGCAATCGGTTGGGATGAGACTGGGGGTGGGCATGGTGCAATGGTAAATGGAATTGAAGTGTGAGATAGAGAAGGAGGAGGAGATGGAACATTATCTTGAAATGGTACCTCATGAGATGGAATAGGTGGAGCCGAATCCCCTCGGAGCGAGCCTTCAGAGTGAGCACCTTCACTTTCGCTTGACTCCTCTTGGATGTGATCCGAAGGAACATAATCAGAGTTACTATTGGAGGGACCTTTCGGTTTCTTGGCCATCTGCTTCACCCTTCGCCTTTTCGGTGCAGAAGAAGATGCTTTTTTGACTTACACTTTTTAGGCGTAGCAGCTTTTGACAACGATCCTTCCTTTTCACCCTTTCTCCCTTTCTAGCCCCGTTTGGCTGGTTTGTCAACTTCATCAACTGATTTCTTCATTTCTAGGGTTAGCTGCCTCAGCCCTGAAGGAGGAAGCTTCTTGTATTCACTGATGACCTTGCTTTCCCTAGAAACACAATGGTACATCGACTTGGGGATTGAACCAATGAACAAAAATTTGGTTGGGTCGACGACAATGATCTTTGTTGTGTGCAAAAATGGCAATTGTTGACCTCAGAGAATCCACCATGATGGGAATGTTGAATTTATCCATTTCCCGTTGAGTGACAATGGTCGAGAACCTACCACAAGAGATCTCGGAATGATGAGAATACGAATTTAGGCTTTGTACCAGTTGATTCCAGAGAATAGACCCATAGTCCATGTTGATCCCATGGTAAAGACCATAGAGAATGGCCATAAACGACTTGCTTTCCCCCATCATACCCTACAACCCGCTCTGATAAACCCTTGAAGATAAGGGTAAATAGACCATTCCACTGTAGAGGAAGTCATGACTTCTTGAATTTGGTCACAGTGGTAAGAAGATCGGTGTACCCCATATCATAAAACATGGTGAAAAGTTGAGTCGTGGAGATCGAGTCAGGATTTGTCATGGAAGCATCGGAGGTTAGCCCTAACAATGAGCAAAACCTAACCTTTGAGACTGAGGTTTTCTGATCAAAGATCTCAAAGAAAAGCTTTTCCTTGGCTTTATCGTATGAGGCCGATGAATAGACTTGAGAAAGTAGAGACATCGGGACAGAATCAACCTTGGTGAGGGCAATCACGAGTGGCGAATACTTTAGGCATTCAACCATCTGAAGCATGTAAGGATTGTACTAGAAAGGAGTGAGGTCTATGATTAGATTCTAGTTGGGCTTGATAGTAAGCATAAAGGACTGAGCACTTTGTTCTTGGACAAATAATGAGTCTGCCATTGTTGAAGCTTCGAGAAGAAGATGAACAGTAAGATGAGAGAAATCGTCAATTAATACTCGACAGGATTTTGGAAGTGGTAAAGAGGTAAAAGTGGGGTGATAAAGCCCTTTATACGATTACCATGAGAGAGAAAAATTCGGAGTGATGATTGCACGATCTTCTGAATCGACTCCTGAAAAAGCACGATTTGACAGCTATTCCCCAAAAAGGTGTCAGGCGGCGTGATGTTAGGTAGCCGTTTCAAATTCACGCGCCCGTTTCAAATCTTATCCTTTGAACGCCTCTTTAATTTTGAAACTGTTTAAATTCCCTTTTAAATGTGGACTCACCCTTTCGCTTCATATGAATCAAGCAATGGTCGCTCCCAAACATAGTATAGCACCATAACATATGGAAACGAAACTATAGATCTGAAAAATTGCCACTAGTACCACAAACAAGAATTGTGGAAAATCATAAAAAATCTTCGTGCAAGAGTGTGCCAAAGTAAGAGAAATAAAGAAAATTATTTGTGGGATATAAGTGATGTCGATTAAGACACGAAACTATGGATCCCAGGCACGAATCTTTTCCTTCAAAGTCAAGATAGACATAAAAGTGTTTGTGTGGTTTCCCGTTAAAATACGATCGCATGTTTATTAAGAAACATTGAAAGGCATCTTTTCAAGTTTAGGCTTTAAAAAGGGTAGCTTTCGCTTCAACCGTACTTCGGTGCTTGACATAAGACCGAAAGTTGGATGAAGTACTTGTAAGACCAGTGTAGCCTATTAAACAAGTAGGTTGGTTAAATTATTCAGTGACTGGATGATATATAGAAATCTCAACAAATAAAAATGAAATTGGATCTTTTGGAAGAGATATCTTGGTGTTAGACAAATTCATAAAGATCTCGCAAAAGAAAAAAGAGATTTCTTGTAATAATAACCGAATGTGGTCATCATTAAGTTGGAAAAAGCTAGAACATTTGATTGTTCACCGTCAATTCATTTAAGGTATTGGATTTTGGGTTTTCACTTAGTACGTGGTGAAACGAAACTAAGATCATCAACACAGATGTTGTGTAACTGTAAACCTCAGTGGTAGATCCTGAGAGTCTCAAGGGTTACATTCATGAAATGAAGTGCGATGGAGAAAATATGGAGGTGGTTAAAAGAACCGAAAGTACCTCTACTATATAAGATTGACCAAGCAGAAAAACTCTTAACTCAATATGAGAAGAGTAAGGTAGCTCATGACTTAAGTGATTTTAATAGCCTGATTGGGAAGAAACAATTTGTATATATCGATTCAGTAAGGCTTCACTCAGAGTCTTGGAGGTTTCGGTCGACATGCAGCAGCATGCTTCTAAGGACACTTAGCTATTGCAAAGAAAAAGAGTGTTATACCTGCCCCAGCTCCATCGTGTGAGTTCATCCATGACCTTTTAGAACAATGATTTTGGTATTTTTGATCTATTTGTGAAAAAATGAAAGAAATAAAAACTAAACATACAAAGAAAATATTTTTGTAAGTTTTGATTTTTCTGAAAAAGAATAAAAACAGAAAATAAAATATTTTTGGATTTTTGAGATTTCTGAAAAAGAGTAAAAACAGAAAAGAAACTTTTTTTGGATTTTGGAGATTTCTGAAAAAGAGTAAAAGCAGAGAAGAATTTTTTTTTTTGGAATTTGAAAATAATTAATGACAGATTTTGGAGATTTCTGAAAAAGAGTAAAAGCAGAGAAGATTTTTTTTTTTTGGAATTTGAAAATAATTAATGACATAAAATGGATTAAGTAAAAAGATATACATAGTATACATACTTGAGTTCCAAACCACAAGAAGAATGACCAATCGTTCACGTTAAAATAATTTAAGAAGTGAAATTGACCGAGCATTCGGTTCATTTCGGTTTCCGAAAAATCCGGAGCCGAAATAGACCGAGTGATCGCTTTATTTCGGTTAATAATTTAAGAAAGCGAAAGTGAAAAGTGATACTATTAAAACGAATGTAATTTCGGAACTGACTCAACTTCCATCATTCCTAATCCATGTAGTATTCTATTGAATGATGCTTCGGGCAAAGCTTTTGTAAAAAAAACACAAAAAACCTTTAGATTTTTGCCACAAATTTTTAGCAAATTTGACACTTTTAGTCCTTATTGTAAAAAAAATTATACATTTTGGCACGAAATACACAAAAAAACATTTAGGTTTTTGCCACAATTTTTTAACCACTTTGACACTCTTGATCCTTACAGTCAAAACTTTTATATTTTTACATAAAAACGCAAAAAAAACATCCCAGGGCGAAGCTCGGGTTTCTTCCTAGTTAGAATAAAAACATAAATTGACAATTGACTGGATTTGAGATTGTCATACTATGTCATTGGATCGATAGTGGAGATAGATGTGACAATAAAGGAACACTACTATTTTGGTTTCTTTGAGTTTTTTTTATTGTTGCGAAAAAAAAAAAAAGACGACACTGCTGTAGGAGGATGAGAGTTTAATTATAGGTAAAAACATACAAAAAAAAAAAAAAAATTGTACATGGAAGGAGGGCCAAACTTGCAAGATAATAAAACTAGAAAACAAATTTGTAAGAAAATGAAAAATTAAGCCGTAAAATGTAGTTTTAAGTATTCTAAAAAGAATAATTTGATAATATTTGAGAAATTTGTTTGTTTGACTTAGGGTTATTCAATTTGCACACAGCAGCCGCCGCTTGACTCGTGAAATTAGGAACTTTTCCCACTTCCTTCGCAGGTAAATTTGATGTCTGAATTGTAATTGTGATTGATTTTGAGTTGATAACTAAGCTAATACATCGAAGAGACTTGTTGTTTAATCATTCCACTACATTCCATTCTTACTTCTCTCTATCTCTCAGCAATGGCAAGATCTGTGGACGGACCTGGAAAGATTAGTTTTGAGCAGCTGCATTCAGGGATTAAAGTGGCTTGTTCAGGTTTGGTTTCGCCATTCATTGTGATGGTATTCAGTCTCGTTTTAATGTATTACTAATAATTAATCTATAACAGGATCAGGAGTAGAGGAAAAAACCTTGGTGCATTTGTTTGGAAACTTGGATAAAGAGGCCGTCGAAGCATTTAAGGGTTCAATTCCACGCTTTATCGAGGAAGGAGACCTCCGGTATTACGAGAGGTTGGGGGGCCAACACTTGGAGTCCATGCGATCTTCTTTTCTGTATCTTCACGTCAGTCGTTCTCATTCACTTGCTTTTTGTGTTTTTTATTTACATACAATGTGTTTTTATTTATTTGTTTTTTCATCTATCTTTTACAGAGGGCCATAAAAATGTGGACAGAACATCCTTATATCAGGGATGCCCGCTTGATGAGATCTGCACTCCATGAAGGTTGTGTGCCCAAACATGTTTTCATCGAGGTTCTCTGCACCAGGGTATTCAAGGATCTGGAAAAGGTTCAAAAAGCCTATGAGTTCATTTATGGGGAAAGGGTACATGAGCATATAAAATCGCCTTCTTTCACCAAGCTTGAAATAAAGGTGATGTCAAACAGATGTACCTTGTTACAATTAAGTTTCTTAAATAGTCGGTAGAGTACTCTCAAGTTTTATGAATAAACAGGTGATTGAAATTATGTTATGGGGAGAACGTTGGCTTTATCATACAAACGAAGAACAAGCTAAAAAGGATGCGGCTCTACTTCATCAGATATTGACTGATGATCACGGCACTGATGGTATGTATGTAGCGACCATGATAGCGAGGGAACCTATAACCCACCTACAATCTGTGCTCAAGCACTTCAAAACAAAGTCGGGTGGAATATCTATCTACGATGTAAGTTTGCAACAACTTTGATAATTGAGTTAGAAACATAGAATTCAAATATGTAGTATTTAATCTTTATATTATTTTATTTTGAAGCATGTGGAGATGCTTCAGAAACACAAACTCCTGCGCGTTATTTTTCAGTGTTTACTTGATCCCATATCCTACTTCACTGAGGTTCTTGATACCTCTTTAGAAGCTAAAGAGCATGATTTTCATGACAAAGACGCGCTCATGCGGGTGATTGTCACGCGAGGCAAAGATCTGAAATCGATAAAAGAAGCATATTTCACTCGTAAAGGGAAAAAATTGATTGACGTGATTGGCGATTCAACGAAAGGACACTATAAGCACTTCCTGTCAGATTTGTTTCGAAGGTTGGAAGTTGATGAGAAGGAGAAGGAGAGGGAGGAGGAGGAGAAGAAGAACAAGAGGGAGGAGGAGGAGAAGAACAAGAGGGAGGAGGAGGAGAAGAAGAACAAGAGGGAGGAGGAGAAGGAGAAGAAGAAGCGGGAGAAGAAGAAGAAGAAGAAGAAGGAGGAGGAGGAGGAGGAGGAGGAGGGAGGAGAAGAAGAACAAGAGGGAGGAGGAGAAGGAGGAGGAGGAGGAGGAGGAGGAGGAGGAGAAGGAGAAGAAGAAGCGGGAGAAGAAGAAGAAGAAGAAGAAGAAGAAGAAGAAGGAGGAGGAGGAGGAGGAGGAGGAGGGAGGAGAAGAAGAAGGAGGAGGAGGAGAAGATGAAGGATAAGATGTAATGATGATGATGCTGATGATGATGATGAACAGATGATTTTGTTTATCTTCTTTTTTGTATTTATATATACTTTGTCAAAGGTATCGGAAGCTCATAGTTAATCCTTTTTTTTTTTTAATTTTTTTTTTCTAATTTAGTTGAAACAATCTCTAAATATAGTTTAATATTATTTAGTAAAAACTTTTTATCAAATATATATTTTAGTATAATTTAGTTGAAACAATAACCTCCAAATATTTTTTATATCTTCTATATATTTACCCCATTTAATATAATTTAGTTGAAATAATAACCTCCAAATATTTTTTATATCTTCTATATATTTACCCTGAAAGATATAGCATCCAAATATCAAGCAATATCCTAACTAGGCAACTGCTTGGACTATTCCAATACTAGGCACATGCTACAAGGCAGCATAAGAGTACCCTACTATTTTTTGCTTGAATATACTTTTAATTAAAAATCAGTAAGCATACAAATGAACATAGTAAAACTCGAAGTACATTACTATTTCACACAGTTTTTCATCTTCTGTCATCCTAACTTCATCTGCTACTCTCCTTGTCACTGTTATCATGTGAAATGTTAACATAGGTCAACATATACCCTTTGGGTATTTTGGTCAATTTTTAAAATAACAAAATTCATCCACACTTCAAGGTTGCTTTGTTTAGTACCGAATTTCTTCATGCTATATGGTTTTAATCTTAACCAAGAGTTCATGTTTCAAAAATTGACCTTAAAAGACAATCACCATACAATTGTGAATGGAATTCTGATGCTTTGATTAATATAACAAACGATGACACATACTCTAGGTAGGAAGGGAATGTTCCCGGTTTGACATTTACTTAACAAAGCATGAGGTATGATTATTGTAGTGAAAAATGCAAACTAAAATGTGGGATCAAGTTATGTGAAAGCTATGTAGAAAATAAGGACCAATATGCAACACTAAAAATTTGATTTATTACCTAATTTTAACATTGTTTATCATCATTTAATTCTAACATTAATCTATCAGTCAATTTCTCATTAGGGCTCAAATGACTGGATTCTAACAAGTACCAACTACTAAACATTTTAAATCATTGTTGTAGACAATAAGACAAAAACTTGACATGGCAAATGGTGTGAGGCCTAACCGACAGTCATAGTAAAGCCTTGATAAGGTTGTATATTGATGTCAAAATTTTAATCAAAGTTTATTGAAGAAAGTAGGTATTTGATGGGGGATTCTATTAGAGTATCAGCACCCGCACTCGAAAAACCTTTTCAAAACCATGATATGACATTTACTGACTATTTAATATCACGTCACCTTTTCATTTTGATTCAAATTGATTTTTTTTTACATTTTCAAATCTTCTCCCTTTAATTTACTATAATTATAAAACCGATCCTTTACAATTTACTTTATAATTTAACCAATTCAAAATCTGTTGTTTAATATTTTAGTTATTTTTTCTGTAAATAAAAAATTAATATTATAATTACAAAACTGATCTTTACAATTTAGTTTATTATATAACCAATTCAAAACTTGTTGTTCCATATTTTCAATTTCTTTAATTTATTTATTGTAATTACAATATTAATCTTTTATAATATTATTTAATGTTATTTTATTTTATTACCATTGACCTCATATATTAAGAGTAGATTACATGAACGCTCTTATGGTTTGAAATAATTAATTTATATGATTGACTCTAACTTTTTTTTTTTTTTTTTAATTTAAATAATCTATTAAACTTTAATTTATTAGATATTTCGCTGCTAACATACATAAAAATAATATTTTTCCCTTACTCATTTATTTTTTATTTTTTAATTTCAATAATTTATTTTTATATTTTATTTTGTTAATTTATTTACGGAGACCCATTGATTTTAGAGAAATTGAGTACTCTAACAATAATAACTATTTTTTTTTATCTTTTTAAAAATTGACAACCTATTCTGGAGTTGAGTCCGATATTCCAGAATAACAGATACATTTATTTGTTTTAATCATTTTTGAAGTGTGTCCATTGCAAATTAATGGTTGGTCATTTGTAGCATGTACATTTATGTGTTTATTTATGGTTAAATGAATCTTATTGAATACCGTCAATTTTGAGATTTTATTTATATTTACTTTGACAAGATGAACTACCTATGAAACTTACAAGATACCGTCTTTAACTGACCTTATTTTGACAGGATGAACTAGCCTATGAAACTTACAAGATACCGTTTTTAACTGACCTTACAATTGATCTTAAATTATCCTGCCCCATATATATATATATATATATATATATATATATATATATATATATATATATATATATATATATATATATATATATATATATATATATATATATATATATATATATATATATATACACTTTGTAGTTAATTTGAAAGATGGTTAGGTATGGAAAGTTAAAAATTAAAATGATTAAAGAATTCCATTTTACTACCCGACACTCATGAAAAATAATATGTTTATATTAATATTATATATATATATATATATATATATATATATATATATATATATATATATATATATATATATATATATTATATTTTATATTAATACAAATATGCCGTACATGTTGTTTATTTATATTAAATAATATATAGGATTAGAATAAAAAATAATGTAAAATAAAGTACCATATAGGTAAAGTTTGTTAATATATGATGGATTATAAATATTCTAAAAACAAAAATAAAAAACATTGTAAAACATAAGGGATCATTAATGTAAAATTTGTTTATATTATGATGGGTTAACGGTTTGGTTAGAATTATGAAAACAAAGTGGTTTTGATTTTTTTTTAATAGTGGTTTTAGGTGTGAATGAAAACACCCGTATTTGATATATCCCACCGTTTGGTACCGTCTATCAAAGGCGTCATTAGATGGAGTATTTAGGAAAATTTATTTAGATTAGGAAATGTATCTTACTTATATTAAAGAAATAAGGAAAGTTTATTGATTAGGAAAGATACTTCTGGTTACATTAGGAAATTAGGAAAGTTTATCCATGTTGGTAGGTATTCGATCCAACACTTCGATCTAACACCTATGGGATCGTTCGCGTAGAGTTGGATGTCGCCAACATCCCAACATCAAGGAGGCGACACTCACCAGAAAAGTGAATACACAACAGTTTTCAGAATTATTCTTGACCATTAATCATCTAGTTGTGACAGTCGGAGGACAAGAAATCCAGCAAGAGTGGCGGCGAGTTTGATCTTGAGTTCGGGTCGTTTAAAAGGAACCCAAAAGACGACAAGGTTCATAGAGGAGGAAATTCAGCCACTGATTTTCGTGAACTCAAGGCTCCAACTTTCAAGGGGGAAAATGGATTTACAAGGTGGAGAGATTTTTCAAAATCCAGATCATTGGGGACCAACTGAGGGCGGCAACCATTTGTTTGTATGGAACAACATTATCATAGTATTGTTGGTGCCTGTTTTGTTCTTGGAACGGATTAAAAGAATGCCTACGCGAATGGTTTCGGCCAGCAGGAGAAGGAAGCTTGTATGAACAATTTCTAGCCATTCAACATGAAGGAGAGGTATGCAACTCTGTAAGGCAATTCGAAAGCATGGTCTGCCAACTGGGGGAATTAACAAAAAGGATATTAGAAGGCACGTTTATTAACAGACTGAAGCTTGAGATACGATATGATGTTCGGATTTTACAACCCGAAAATCTAACTAGAGCCATGAAAATCGCAGTTATGGTGGACGAGAACAAGTTCTTGGTGGGAGTACCCGAGACAGGTAGTGGGACGACTCAGTTTCCCAACAACATGTCAAACCGGTCAAGTTCTACCTCAAGCAACACAGTAGCAGTGATCTTGAACAGCAAAATCAGCAGCATCGGCTTCACAAGCTTAATATGATCATTCAAATGGTTAACAAAAGTTGAATTTGCAGAAAAAATGTCAAAAGGGCTGTGTTTTCATTATGATGGTAAGTTTAGACCTGGGCACCGTTTCCCAAGCTAAACTTTACAAGTATTCATCATAGATGAGGACGAGAAAACGAGGAGGGCAAACAGGATCATGCTCAACACAACTTGGTTGAGGTATCACTAAACTCCGTCAATGGTCTCACTCCACCACAAACGATGAAGGTTACAGGCGACATTGGAGGAATTCAAGTGCTGGTATTAATCGATAGTGACGCAGCTCATAAATATCATTATATTTATAATGAGGAATTCAAGTCCTAGTATTAATCCTCGTTATAATGATATTTATAAAGTAACTAAACCTTTTACATTATTCCTCATTATGACTCTTTATTCTACCGGTTAATTGATATGAGACATTAATTGATATGAATACATATTCATTAAGAGTCTAGATAATAATACATATTCTCCATCTCGTTCTTTAAAACACCATCTATTTGATTTTTATAGAGGGGATAAAGAGTTTATTATACAAAGTATGTAAAAAAGGAGATTCTATTTTCTCTTCTTTTGTATTTCTTCTCTGGTTAGAATCTAGGAATTTCAATTCATTTACAACTTAAAGTCCTTTTCTGTGACAACCCGAAATTTAGGGCTAAAATTATAACCGTCTGTTTAACCGTGAATCTCATGTTAATCCGAATTACTGAGTTTTAGTGTATCTTCAGAAGGACAAGTAAGTTCATTCTAACTGTAATGATACTAGATGATTATTGCTTAAACATAAATTTGGGTATAAGAACTCCATCTCCGTGTATACTTTGAATATCATGAAATGATGGTAAGAATCAAGTTGGGTTATTTTAAATTAAGACGACTGTAATAATGTAATTTTTAAAATTCGTGCATATATTAATATATAAAGAAACATATTTTTATAACAATTGAAAATGTAATTAGTTACAGTTTTTGTAAAATATATAATGTGTGACAATCATATAAACACAAGGCATATATGTTATATAATTAAAATTATATAACAAAATATATATATATATAT